TTTGGGCACCAGCCAACTGGGTCGTGTTACCCGCATGAAGAAGGCGTTTAGCAGTCGTGTTGTTGCTACATCCGACACTACTGCGCACTTTGGGCCTCCACGTTGCTTTCGCGGACTGGACGCAAACATCATGAAGGGGCGTGTTGTTTCAGCGCTTTCTGTTATCTTCTTCATAATGAACGGTAAGAGTTTTTACAAATTAGATACGAGTAACCCGGTCATCACCTATAGACGCGAGGGGTTTGTAAAGACCACGGTGCCGTTTGAGAGTTGGAGAGACTTGAGATGAAAGATCAAATCTATCAACTTTATTGCTCAACAACTGTAGCTGGTACAGTGTATGGCAAAGAATCAACAATGGTACATACACAAACTAATACTAAAATAGGATTCTAACGAGCTAATCTATTGTGTTTTCTTATTATATAGGAAGAGTATTATAACATTCTGTAATTCAGGGGATATATCAGCTATTTACAATATGGTGTCGCTTTTGTAGTGATTCAAATATGAATTTTCCATCGTACACTGATACGCCCAGTTCTCGAGTACGCTGCCCCCGTCTGGCATTCTGGACTTACCACTGAACTCAGCAACAAGATTGAGAAGATCCAACGGAGAGCAGTGCGCATCATTATGGGTGCGAAGTACACATCCTACACTGAAGGCTGCTCCTACCTGGGACGACCTACCCTACAGTCACGACGCCTTCTCCTGACTGTGAACTTTGCGAACTCTCTTAGACAGTCTGAACAGTTCCGGCATTTTCTGCCACCTGTTAGAAGTGCAATAAGTGGTCGTCAAACCAGATCAGCTTATAAACTGAACACTCCTCGCAGCAGAACTGATCGTTATCAGAATAGTGCCCTTCCTTTCATGATCCGCCTGCTTAATATGTAACACTGTCACCTTTTTTTAACCTAAGACTTATTTTAGTGTTACCAGTGTCCGTCTGTTTTGTTATCTGCTACGATATTAATTTGCACTTGAAATGTTGTTGACAATATTTTATATACATTTTATGTAATGGTTTATTTCTATTTTAATCGCTTAATATGACGTTTTATACTAATAATGTGATGCCCCAATGTCAATTTAGCCTCTGGCTGCCATTTTTGGGACAGTGTTGTTGTGTTTTAATGCAAATAAACCATTGATAACTGAGTAGGACAAGAAAGGAGCATGCATATTAAAGATATCTGACTTTGATTGACTTGAGATGAAAGATGACCGAGAGCTAAAGGGGCACCTGATACCATCTACGGTTAAAAGACGTTGTCCTTATTTTTGTTTAGGCTCGCATTCAGATACGATATCCTTTTCGTTGCATTTTCAAAGGAAACAGCATTTATATGGAGAATATATAGCTTTAGGAACACATTCTGCAATAGACAGACCCAGGAACCAAGCTAGGGCACAAACGAGTAACACGACAGAAAGATGACTCTATAGAGAATCCATTACCCAATGCAAGCTGCATGTAACGAGTTTTCCAGAAAGATGACATTCACGCCCAGTGTATTTCCAGGTTGTGTGGTGGCGGCCCTACAGTGCTATTCCTGCTCAACTACTCAAGTCAACTCCTCAGTCTGTGGCAGGCGTGTGACCAAAACTGACCTGGCCACATGCGGGGAATCAGGGAAGTTTTGCTATGTGAGTTCTGTCGTGTTTGTTAGCAAACGGGTCTCGTCAAAATGAGCTGAGTATTTCATCATATGCAACTGGCACAGTTTTTTTTTCAAATCTAGGCTGTTTAACTGTATGATGAACTCGAAAGAGCATCATTAGTGATCTGAGCGTTTTTCTTTGTAGACAAGCAAAACACCCAGCGAGCAACAAATG